CACACACACACACACACACACACACACACACACACACACACACACACACACACTGCCCTGTCATAGGAGAAGAGAGTATCAGGATAATGTCCAGTGGCAGTTTTATTAAAGGAGGAATCGTGCAAATACTATGAGATGGAATAAAAATCCACATACGTGTAAAACATGACCCACAATAAAAATCCACAAAAGACTAAATGAGAGGCAACAGTCAAGAGTCTGTGCAGAACCACTTGGAGAGAAAAGAGTCTGTATGAGAGCAGAGAACCAGCATCATGTCTCCTCCAGACTTGTGCATGAAGAGGCTGAGAGTGTGGCCGGGCTCGGTGACCTACCTTCCCGTGTCCCCGTGCACAAGTGCCCGCTGTGAGGTCCGGTCCTCTGCAGGAGCAGTGGAGGAGCAGAAAGGAGCAGAGAGGAGCTGTGAGAAGTTGAGAGGAGGCGGCTCCGGCGGGAGACTGAGGAGACTCAACTCCTTCCACAACCACAGAGCTGCAGAGAGCTGTCAATCACCTGTACTACAGCAGTCACACTTCCTGTCATGGCTTTCAAATTAAAAGGTGCATTGGCGAAGAGGAGTATTGTTTGTGTGTTTTCATTCAGAGCTGCTAAAGACAAATCTATTTCCACATTTCTGCACATGCTGATCTAAGATGACCGAAAAACAAACATAGTAAAGGAACTAATGTGCAATATTTTCATTTCTGTCTGCATTGTAATGACTCTTCTTCTTCTTTATCTTTCGGCTGCTCCCATTTCGGGGTCGCCACAGCGGATCATCTGCCTCCATCTCACCCTATTCCCTGCCTCCTCTACTGTTACACCAACCATCTCCATATCCTCCTTCAGTACATCCATGAACCTTCTCTGAGGTCTTCCTCTTCTCCTTCTACCTGGCAGCTCCATCTCCAACATCCTCTGTCCAATATATCCACTACCCCTCCTCAACACATGTCCAAACCATCTCAATCTGGCCTCTCTAGCTTTATCTCTAAACTGCTCCACCTTCGCTGTCCCTCTGATCTGCTCGTTTCTAATCTTGTCCATCCTTGTCACTCCCAACGAAAACCTCAGCATCTTCATCTCTGCCACCTCCAGCTCAGTCTCCTGTCAGCTTCACCACTAGTTGTCACTAAATTCTACACACTGAACCTTTAAAGCTAAAATGACCTATGCAACAACCTTATGTTTAAATAGTTGATGCTAACACTTTGTTTCTAATTGGAAAAGGTGTCAAATTTGAACAAATGAGTTATTCCGATGACAGTTGAATCCATAAATCCATTTTAATTTCTCCTCATAGACACAAGCGATGGATCTGAAATGAATATGCACACAGACAAGTTCTGTCCCTGCACCAGATCAATGTGGTGGCTGTAAACTCAGTTATAGAATAAAAGCCAAATAATTAAAACTTCATTGCGCTTTCCACTATTTTTTATGTGAAATAACCTTTTTTCCTAAGCTCAACAAAGTCACTGGTTATATATATGACATCCATTGCCACTAGGTGTTGCACTAGCACCAGTGTCTTGCACATGCAAATGCGCTAACATGAAAACAGGCCCAAACTGGTTAACAAAGACCAGAGAGAGGCTCAGGTGACAACACACACAGAAGGAGGATAACTTAATTTTCTGTTGAAGATACTTATACACATTACTTCATGTTATCTGTCATAGGAATGGTTATTGGCTGCTTAATAAATGTTTAGTATGTCCTGTCTTTATAAAAACCTTTACGGTAAAGGTGCAAATTGAAATTTATGGAGTTCCATAAACTAATTAAAATTTGTCAGTAAAACTCTTTCTCCACAACCAAAGCTTGGATTGAAGTATGTCTGGAGACCCGTTGCTGGACTACACTCAAGATTCCTCAAGTTCTGACGGAGCCATTGAAAAAAACCTGTGAAAAGTGTTTGTTTTATTTTGAAGGAGCACATTTTACTCTCTGGTTTTGTTTCATCTGAATTTATCTGACTTGATTTAGACGGTTCCTGCTGATTGGCTGCCTGATCTGAGAGGAAGCAGCTTCAGCCGGTGAAGTGTGTGTGT